CAAATATTTATAGCATAAATACATCTCAACTAGGTTGTCATCTACGTTTATTATAATTTATAGTTTAAGTACTTCCCAATTAGGTTGGCTCTCTGCCCCTCTTTTTTTCAAATTTTTTTTTAAAAAAAAATTTCACGGGCAAGCGAGTTAACCGCGACCCTTGAAGGTGCAACCCACGAAACCCGCGGGTCACACTTTCTTGACCCGTGAACCTCCCGCTCGGGTTACGGGTCGACCCGCGGTCCCGCGTCGATCCTGGCCGATTTCACGAGTTTGGGCCCGCCCGTCTTGACACCTCTACACACACAACTGAAAAACTTCCTAATTAGAACCAAAGGAAGCCCTATGATGGTAGTCTTGTACTCATCATCATTTTATTCATTAGACAATGTAGTAGTGGATTTACTGGTACATATAACAGACATAACATACAGGTAATGATCAACACTGGTGATAAATAACATTATTCACCGAAAAGAAAAAAGAAAAAAAAAGATAAAGAGACACCGAATCACAAAAATAATACACACACATACATATAGCATTATAAACTTACAAATATAAGTTATTTTTTATTGATATAAAAACAAAAATGTAACAATAATCAAACATTAAACTTTTGTGATGGCAACAATAGTCATGACAATACATCACAGTACATGTCAAGGTTTAGTCAATCTTTAGCAAAAAATTCTTAATTTTTTAAGGAAAACAAAAGAAGTCGACCAGTAAACCAGGTCAATCCGTAGTTGGTTCCACTGATTTCTGCATGAATCATTTGATTCACCTGGTTTAATCCCTGTTTTTAACGATCGATTTGAGTATACTGTGCGGTCTGATTTTCTCATTTTCAAAATATCATAATGAGTCAATCAGGAACTGAAGATGAGAGTTAAAAGCTCTAGACAGTGGGAAAACAAATGCAAAAGATAAATATGCTAATATAGTAATGCTATGATATAGATTCTAGACTACAATATAGACAATGTTAGAGGGGGGTGGGGTGGCAAGAACAGGTAACACGAATGCAGAGGCACAATATAATCTTTTTATAAAGGTCTTCCAAAAGAAATTTTATAAACTTGGGCATCCAACGACTTCAGCTACTTATCTTCTTGATTGCAGAATTGCTTGTGGAGGAAACAGTTTCATTTTGTGCAACAATTGTATGAATCATAGTCCATTGCTCGTTTCATTCCAACCATTAATTTTCTCGATTCAAGTCCCATCATCTCTTGTTCCTCGTAAACAGTTTTTTCATCCTCCATTTGGCCATTAATCTCATCATCTGGAAATAAAAACAGGTGCAAGAATGTACAATAAGATCAAAAAAATTCAGTTCGAGGGGAAAAACCATATAGCATGAGCAGGACTAAAGTTCCTGGTGACTAACCGAAAGTATACACAAATAAAAAGGAGAATGTAAAGAAAAAGCTTTCCTGCCTGAGGCGCTAGCTAGTGAAAATTCTGTGAGACGCTTGACACAATCCTTGAGTGCTTGGAGCTCAGCTTCTTTCTCTCGGAGTTTAGACTGTGTCGAGTTCAGCTCAGTCTCCAGCTCGACTATTTGGCTTTTCTGTTGGTCAATGAGCAAATGAGACAATTTTTTATCCAGTTCAGATGGCACTACTCCATTGAATTGTATTGGATTTGAGTTCTGGTGATCTGCTTGGAGATATTCTTCAGCCAAAGCTTCAGCCTGCTCATCAAGGATCATATGTTCCTTGTCAAATTCTAGGTTATGAAAAAAGAGATCTTATTTTCCATTTTTACCCACAATATATTTTACGAATATTAGTGGCCAACATAAAATTTTCGGAGAATCAGAACTGCATTTTCCTAGACGTTGCAACTGGAAAAGCCAATGGACATATCATCACTAGTTTCAGAACTTCCCTTTTCATAAACTAACAATAGAATGTGCAAATAATGACAATGCATATTACAGATCAAGATCCATACTGTATAGTTTAACTATCTCAACCCGTTATTGCCATATCGGCTTTAGCACCTGCCTGGCATTGGAGATATTGTGTTACTAACAAATGCCAAACCTACATATTCTAACCCACCCATCACCCATGTTTCTGTTTTAGCCGGGCAAATTTAAAAATTAGAAACCATCACAAGAAACAACAATTCTTGTTCGCTCCATTAACATCCTCTCCATATGAAATGCAAAAGATTGTGAGCCATTTTTTCTCCATCTGAATTACTTTTTCTTCTTTATATTTGCAGTAATAAACCTAGTGGCCGAAACTGTCACATGTCTATCTATCTCAAAAAAAGTAAAAAGGGATAATGAATATGAAAGTTTATGGGACAAAACTCACATAAAAAATATCTGTTCGTCCTTCAGAACCTGAACCTTCTGTGGTACACCAAGGAAGTTTTTGCAGTTCAGACTCGAGCTCTGCTTCCAGTTGATCCATTTCCAGTACCTCGGGCTGCTGGTCTTCCATTAGATCCAAACTTGCACCTTCACCTTCTTCAGTGAAAGCAAAAGCTTTGACGTTATCCTTTCTGTTAGTCAATAGTCGTCTACTGTAACTTCCATCAATATGCATTTTATTTGTTGTAGCTTCGTTCTGAGAAATTGAATAGTGAAGATGACGGGAGGCTTTCCTTCTAGATATTTCAGTTTTTAATTCTTGAACAACTTTTGTAGTCTCGTCCATTGCCGAGTTCAGCCTACTGATTTCAGCCTTTCCACTTGACATCATGTACATTATTCCAACACCAATTCCCCAGCCAAAGGAACCGTCTGAAAAGGAAGGCAAAAACAAAACATGAAAAAATTGAGCATTATAAGGTAGGTGCCAATAACAAATAGACCGCACAGGTTATATCAGCTATGACGCTACATTTTAATAGGTGAGAACTCTAACTATCGTTACACTGTAACCGGTGCATCAAATTTATTTAAAAAAAGAAATATATTAAGCAAGAATGTTGTTGGAATAGAAAAATATCATTGGACAATTTCTTATTCCCATATTTTCCTTCTTCCTGTCTATGCATATATCTCTACTAGTGCAAAAGAAGAATGTCATGCCTAGAAGATTCAAAATTAGCTCAAGGATCTTTCACTGAGAAGGATGAACTCCACATGCTTATTTCGAGTTCAGAATGAAAATTTGAAAACTGCAAAGACATTACCTAATCAGTATATTTTCTCATTCCAGTTCAGGGAGCACGTTGGAGACATAATTCAAATAAATAAGTACACAAGCTTTCCAAATTATTCTTTACAAAATCATTAGATCAATCTACTTATTAGCCGTCAAAAACGAACATAAACTTCACAACACTAATTTATGTAACTTAAAGCCAAAGGGAATCTATTAACTTGGATTTGTATAAATTAATGCGCTTACATTTATCTATACATTTACAAGAAAAAAAATACCTTTTGAAGCACAAGATTCACATTTCCCTGGAGCATTTTTTCCAGTTCTTCTCTTCTTCAAGCAAACAGAAAATCTTTTTCCAATCCAATTCTTCCTCTGACCCACAGACCCACATTTTCTCTCCATTTTCCCACCACCATTTTTCTTAAATCCGCCCCCCATTTTCTTCCTCGAGTTCTTAAACTTCGATCCGTGACTTGAAAACCTGAAGATTGATCCACTATTATCCACCTCCTCACTCTGAGATTCATTTCCATTTTCTTGGACCGGGACATTGCAGGGAAACACTGAATCTTGGGTGTGTAAATATTCACTAAAACTTCGAAAATCTTGGATTTGATCAGAGTTTTGGGGATTTTGTTTGATATCAGAAATGGGTTCATTGGGGTTGATGAATTTCTTGGCTAAAATCCCAGATCCTGCTGCTGCAGCTGCTGCTAACAGAACTTGCCACATTTCAAAACCAAACAAGGAGACTAGCACAGGGGTTCGAAATTTGAAAAGAGTGAAAATGGACGTCCATATATCAGCATTCTAGAGAGAGAGGGGGAAGGGGAAGGGAGTGTAATGAATCGTGAGATTCCGAGGGAGAGAGTACGATGCTGGTTCATATACACGTGACTGTGTCATAATGCACGCGAGCGATGTCATGGGCTTCCCGCTTTTGAACGTATTTTCAATTGGGGGAGATTTTCACTTTTCAACATTTCTTGCCCTAATTTTCACGCCATTTGACCTATTAAAAATTTCTACCTTTTTTTTTTCTTTCTTATTACGCAACCGTCACTTTCTTAATCCCTGTTTCATGGAGTTAATCATTAGCCACTGAACTTTGAGTTGTGTTACGACTTACTCGTCGAACTTTCAAAATTGTCTCGATGGCCACTGAACTTCACTCCGTCCAACGCCATCACTCACCCGTTTGAAACCGTTAACAGACCCATCTACGTGGATGACGGAAAAATGAGTTGGCCGGTTAAATCCTTCCAAATAATAAATGGGACGCCAACTCATTGCCAAATAAGCAAAGGCGCATCCAAACACGCCAAATTGATTTGAAAAACGCGATTCTATATTCATATATGCTAAACCCTATGCTCGTAGTAAACGAAACCCAGTAGATGTTATCTTGGCGTGTTTCCATTTCCATTTCCCCCAAATCCACCTCAAGAACCCTAAACCCCCCAAAACAATCCAATCGGTGAGAAGGCCGTATGTACCACCAAAACCCGACCAAACAGGATACATTAATGAAGATTTTGTTGGATCGCAACCGTGATTCGAACTAAATGAAAGGTAAATTTCATTCCCTGCTTTGTGATTATAAACATACATTAAATAATATCTGTACGAAAGTGTCGTATTTTGAAAATTTAAGAAGTAAATGAACGGAAGATTTGGTTAGGGGAGAAGATGCATGTGATAAAATTTTTACTGATTTGTTAGAAAAATGAAAATGCTTCTGATTTGTTAATGCAAATGCTTATGATCTGGTTAGGGGAGAAAATCTGGTCATGTTCGTCCACTTTAGATGCTTATGATTTGTAAGAAAAATGAAAACGCAAAACAGATGGCAATGAACTAGTTACTGGATGTAAATGGATGTTTAGGCTGAAGTCTTGATCTTGGTTTATCTGATAGGATTTTCTATAAAACGAATTTCAGATGTGAATTGATTTTGGTTATGGATTCTATTTTAGAAATGCAGTTTATTGAATATTAATCTAGCCATTGGCTATTGCAACCACTCTTTGTGCTCCTGAGGTAGCGTTAAATTTTTTTTTTCCAATCCTTTATCTTGTCATGTCAAAACCAAATTTATGACCAAGCCCAAAGTATATGACCTGGTAGTAGCTCAAAGCTGTTGAAATATTTGAGGTGATCTACTATACATTTGAGTGCAAATTTCGGACATTGGTATGGTTGATATAGTGGTGTCTCTACATCTTTTAATTTGTGTGTATATATTTTCCAAACAAATGCCTGCTTGTTTATCTAACCTGCTATTTAACTACATGTTTACTTCTTTTGTTATGCTTGTTACTGTTCTTTTGGTTTTTCCTTTTACAATAGTCTTCCTCCATTTATTTTTCTCTCTTTTTTGTAGATATCAGTTTTCTTCTGTTTGTCTGTGCATCTTGAACTCCAATTATCAGCTCACCATTTTGCCATCGTTATAATGATGGGGGGAAAGAACAAATGAATTTGTCATGGTTGCCGAAAGCCAGGCCACTACTTGTTGGATTGTCCAACGAAGAAACCGTGCCCAGTATGCGACAAGGGAATTCATAAATGCATGGAGGTTGAAAAGAGGACAGAATACTTATGACGTCTATTCTTCTGTTGTACTAATGATTGCACTCATTTCAAGTGGCTCGACGAATATTGTCAATATGAAGGTCAGTCAAGTGCTACATCGAAAATTCACGAGTTGTCAGGATTTGTTGAAGCATGTTGCTAAAATAAGCGAAAAAAATGACATGGATATCTCTGTCAAATTTACTTTTCGCAAGGAAAAAGGAGAGAAGAAGAAAGGGAAACAAAATGGAGGAGCTCCGTGAGAAACAAAATGGCATCAGAAACTGGAAGGACTTTTGTTCAGCCTCTCACAGTAGCTTTAGTTGTTATCATCTCAGCTCCTGCTTGATTTTATCTTATGTATTGTTAATGTTTGTGATGATACTTTATTTAGTACGTATGTGTAGACATTTAGCTTTGTGATGACATGTAGTTCGTGTTTGTATTTAAGGAAGTCAGTCTTGTTATCCAATTCCTTGTATTTAAGGAATTCAGTGTTGTTATCAAATGTTTTGCAAGTAATGGTCATCTTTTTCTCTGTCCTTCGCTACTATTTTCTGCCCTTCGACCTAGATAGCACTATCTATTAGTAGACAAGCTCAAAATGAAAGCTTCATCAACTAGACATGAAATTTGGACAGTTTTTTCCAAGACGAGCACTTTAAAACTCAAGCACATGAAGAATGGACAGAACATGGAGCACTTTAAAGCTGAAGCAAACTTTAAAGGGAAAATAAACTAATAATGCATCTGGGAACACCAACAACAAATAAACAAAACTCACCTATATTACTGACTCCTCGGAACATATTTTAAGGTACAATCATACTATATGAACATAATGATTGACATAATCATTGACATGATATCACATGACAACCTATCATTAGATTGTTTAAAACACTGTCAGCTTTTTCAATCAATCATATCTTGCCAACATCTATTTTGTCAACCATTATTTCACATTTTTTGGGCAAAGTAGCATTATTCTTTAAGGTAGAGTTATGCAATATAACATATAATACTTCCATTAAACTGAGCTTCACAAGCATTTGTGTAATCCATTTCTCAAAAAAAAACATAAAAATATGGTACAGACATAACATGTATACATAGATTTAGAAAAAGTACAAGGAGGAAATGACTTGGTAAAATCCGATTTATCTTCAAGACCATATCTATAAAATATACCCAACATGTCATTTAGGACAATATGTTTACAATTTACATGCCTAAATCATTTACACTAGACAAAAACATCGACGCCCTATGCAATTTCAATCCCACCAATTACGTTTGTATCATATTCGATGTCATCGTCGTCGGACTCAAAGTTGTGGTCGAATTCTAAGAAGTCCAGATCTTCCTCATATTCTGTCATACAATTCAACCACATTAGATTCATGTAATGTCTTAAAGTGGGATTAAAAACATGCAAACATGTTCAGCAAAGTTAAACAAGACATTTGTATTTTCAACCATCAAGAATAACACAATATTTGCTTACTATAACATGGGGTATTAATTTACATCCATTATAGATGACTTACAGCCTAATTTACAGTAATTTACAGTTATTTATACATGCTGGTTTACAGTGATTGTAGCCCGGATTTACAACACTTAGAGATGATTTACAACCTGCTGATTTCCAATAATTTACATCCTCTGATTTCCAGTAATTGACAGCCTTTCTTTAACGAGAGTAAGATACTAAAGAAACATTCAAACGGCGAAACAATTAGAAACCAACATGCAAATTTGTTCAACTTCAGTTGTATGACACTGATAGAAAGAGAGACTACAAATTCATGCCGATCATTTATACAATAAAAATCATTATAACTACAAAATATCACGCGTTCTAAGATTTTTATGAAAATATTGTCACAAGAAAATAAAAGCTCTTGAAGACAGCAGCTAAAGTATTTTAGGTTTCTTAAAAAAGTCACTTGATGTCATGCCTCGTGAATTCGGTATCCATTTGAAGATAGTTAAACTCAAACATACAGCTTCTTTGCACTATCGAATTTACCTTCAATAGTTCCGTCCATTCTTAGGCTCAAGTGTCTTGTTCTTCAGTTCTCAAATCAAACAGAAGTTGCTTCTGGTTGGGCTCTTCTGCTGGTTAAGAACGGCGGGATGGAGCTCGATAATCATATTTTCCGATTTTGGGGATTAGGTTTCGAATGACAAATTGATTTTTGGAAATTAGGAATTGAGCTTCAATTATTCTGGAAATGGGTTTTGGGAAATTAGGGATTGAGCTTCCCTATTCTTGTAGTTAGGATTCCAATGTGGGAATTTCTCATCCTTCCATTTCTTCTTTCTGTTTGAAGAACATAAAGGCGTGTTGAGAGTGTAAAAATTGTTAATGAGGTGTTTGGTCGTGTGATGACCGACATGGCGTCCCCTTTATTATTTGGAAGGATTTAACCGGCCAACTCATTTTTTCGTTATCCACGTAGACACGTCTGTTAACGGTTTCAAATGGGTGAGTGATGCAATTGGGTAGAGTGAAGTTCAGTGGCCACCGAGATAATTTTGAAAGTTCGGTGAGTAAGTCGTGACACAACCCAAAGTTCAGTGGCTAATGAAACATTTAACTCAGTTTCATGCCCATTAAAAAAAATTCTAAAAAAAAAAAAGTTTTTGAAAAATGTACGATTTAAAAGTAAGGGAAAATCTTGAGTAAAAAAATGAAAAATTATAGACAAAAGGGAGCTAAAATGCAGATGTCTTGAAAGTTTATAAACACTTGATCATATATGGTTTTAACTGTTAGACAGTTTTTCAAAGTGCTTGTAACAGTAGTACGAAAGGAAATAGTCGTAGAACCTCATCATTGATAAATTGTCTGACTCGAGAAAAACTACTTTACTAATAAACTAGTGCAGTGGAGTCATTGAGACTACAAGAAATAGATGGTAATGATCATATGAGCATTGATAGGGGTACATCACTCCATACATAAGGGTCTACACCCCTTCACATGGGGGGTGGGATCCGCTCGAATAAAAAAATATTATTTCAATGGGTCTCACCCCTCATGTGAGGGGGGTGTAGACCCTCATGTACAATTCTTGATGTACAACTAGAATAATTCTGATCATATTGTGAATTCCAAGTCTGTTTTATGAATTTACACACACTTTAGT